TGCTCTGAGTTATGTATAGGATAGCGGTAGTGTGGACCCCCCCCCCATGAAGAGGTAGATTCCCCAAAGGCCCAAAATGATCTCTAAACTACAACATTATTAAGAATAAAAATGGACAAATGATCATCTAACCAGAATAATAGAGGTCAAACAATACACCTAAGCTTCAAGTGGTGGCGTGAGCCTTCTCAAGATCAAAGCAGATGTTCCCTCTTGAGAAAGACTACCATGATTGATGTTGCTAGTTCAATCAAGTTCTACTGTGGTTTATTCTACAGAAACTATATTATTTGTTGGAGATGAGGTCAATGGATTCTAGAAACCAAACAAGACAAGCATTAATTATCGTGTCCAAAACACTACACAGATAGCTAGTCAAAACAGTATGTTATAAGTGATGTTGGGATCCTTCCCAGGCTTATAACAAGGAGACAATAACTAATTACCATACGTCAGAAAACTTCTCCTTTTGACAAACGTGGTTAAAAAGAACCAAATAAAACTGAGATAGCTGAGAGGAAGCACGATGTGTTATAGTATATATCATTTGGTCCAACTGATGTACTGTCAGGCCAATGCATCCCTATATACTAAGCACTACTGTGGCTAATAATATATATACACACACTCACAATTATAATGAATGCAACGTTAAAATAATTGCACAACAAATAATTTATTAAAAACAGGGACTAGCCCTAAAAGTATTCAACATGTTTCGGTAACGTGTTTTATCCGGAATTATGAGGGGGGCCTTTAAATTACACAGCGGAGGGCAGGTATTTTATTTTCGTATGTTTAAAACGTTTATGGGGCCAAAAATTCCCCAGAAAGAATATGTGTTTGTTTCAGATTTTTTGCACATAGCTACACAAGAGTTATCTGCGTACAGCCATCCGCAATTTTGAATTACTATACTAGAGGGGAGGCATCTAGTAAACAGCACTCCCCCTGCAAACTGTGCTTTTCTTGTGTGATTGAATAGTGGGATTTGAGCGTTACTCTTATAGCGTATCAACAGCCAAACTGCGAACCATCAACCCTCGAATCCATAGTCAAAGGAACGTTAACAGATGGGCCACACCCGACCCAGAAAGGAAATTTAAAAGTCAAACTGACTGAGAGATAGACAAGTGTGAATGATGAAAAGTTGTATATTTAGAGAGAGATGGTCTGGTCTTTAAAATGAATGGTGGACAAATGGCGGGCCGGATGAACAGAAAAAAGAATCAGAGGACAGACTAACATGGCACTTTGCCAACCAAAACTTTGTTGAAGCATATACATACTCCCTGTGTGTTTTAAATACGAGGTTTTCATAAGACTGCTTTTGAATGAGTTGTTAAAAAGACCAAGTGTTCTACGAGCTGAGCTGAAGGATTAAACTCCTACTCATCTCTTGTAAGGCATTTTTAACAGCTCAAACTAATATATAAATAGCTTAATATACTGAGAAAAACCTATAAATCTAAATCTAGATGCGAAAAGAAAGAAAAATAAATAACTAAAACTTTATAATTACCTCTTAATTTCTGTTTAATTGTTTGTTTATTGGAAGTTAAATACAAAGTTACACAATGGGCTATCTGTGCTCTGCCCACCACGGGTACCGAAAACCGGTTTCTAGCGTTGTAAGTCCGCAGACATACCGCTGTGTTATCACCCACCACCAACTATTGGGTTACTCTTTAACCAACGAATAGTAAGATTGATCGTCACATTATAACGCTGAAATGGCGAGCAAATTTGGTGGGACGGGGATTCGAACCCGCGACTCTCAAATTGCTAGTCAAGCGCCCAAACCACCTCACCATGTATATATATGATATGCTCCTAGAAGTGAAAGACTTAAACACAGGTACATATTTATTAAAAAAAGGTCTGACAATTCTATTATAGAAGTAATATAGCAAGATTAAAAAGTATATATATATATATAAGTAAAAATATTTAGCTTTGCCAACTGTAGTTTGGAACTATCTTTTTTGAATAATAGTTTCGTATTTGACTTCGTATTCAAATCTTTGAATTTCTTGAATTACTTTTTATCCATTTACTGCCTACAACAGTTCAAAAATTGTAAACGTTAGCTCTTATGAAATACGCCAATCCACTAACCTCTTTGTTTGTGAAGAAAAACAAATGTGGTGTAGGTTTTCGGGTCGAATTGCAGTTGAGTTACGATCGTCTGATTTTTTTCTGCGCATGAGCAACTTTTCATTGATTTTAATAAACGCCCCACCCACTTAGCAAAGAAAAGAAGTCTCAGTGACCTCAACACTCTTGCAAAGCATTGTGTGAGAAAGCAGATGAATTAAAAATTTTAAGATGTACATTTGTTTTCATTTGATATTATAGCAGTTTGATTCATACTGTAGAGAAACATGAATACAAATTGTTACAAAATGGAAGTGTATTAAGAGAAAATAACAAAATACTCAACAATAAGTAACAGCATTTAACAATCAGAAGCTTAATTTAGCCATGAACTGAACTGAACAAAATCCTCTGAGAGCTATCAGACTCTCAAGAAATAAAGATAGGAACTTTGAGAAACACAAAGTGAATCAAGTTAAAAGAATAGGTAGCTGTCCAAAGTAGATATAGAAATGGCTGTTTTAACATTGCTTGACAGTTAGTTTAAAATGCATGTGAAATGGAACACAATAAAAAAAAAGATGAAAATAAGTTTGAGAAATAGAAACGTTTTTATCTTTGTGGGCTTAAGACAAGGGCTGGGCGTGGCTCACTAGTCAGCGTGCACGGTTATGAATCCAATGATTCACGGTTCGCGCCCTCTACCCTATAAGTTCAAAATTAGGGGCAGCTTTGCATGAAATTTGTGAAAGAATTAAAATATAGAGATAGAAATATAAAACAGAAATGGTAAGTAGAGAAGAGTCATTTAATATCTAGCAAAGTACGAAAAGGAAAAGATGGTACCATTTATGTTCAGTAGTTCAACAAGTTCGGCATTCCCTATAAACTTTATAGGGACTTTTGTTCAAAATTTGTTAAAGAATGACAGCTTCGAAATTGAAGTTGGGATTTTGTGAGTAAAGCAATTCCATCCGCATGTTTCTGTCTTAAGTTAAACCCTACTACAACGTGACAAATACGAAATTGTACGTAAATATTTAAACATGTAACAGATTATACAAATCCATATGTTTTCTGACGTGGTTTATCGTTTAAAGTGTATAGTCTATCGAGATCCCGATTTAAATTCGCGTCAATTTATATAGAAATATAATTTATCTAAATGATAACTAAGAAGATTTGAAAACAAACAAACACAATTTGAAATACTTTAATTTTTTTATCACTTGTAAATGGTACAAATAAACAGGAAAGTGGTGGATTATAAAACTAAAATACATCGTACAATGTGTCCTCCGTCACGACTATTGAAGATAAAAGATTGTTTTGATGTACTTTCTAAACCGAGATTTCGTACAATGTGTCCTCCGTCACGACTATTGAAGATAAAGGATTGTTTTGATGTACTTTCTAAACCGAGATTTCGTACAATGTGTCCTCCGTCACGACTATTGAAGATAAAGGATCGTTTCGATGTACTTTCTAAACCAAGATTTCGTACAATGTGTCCTCCGTCACGACTATTGAAGATAAAGGATTGTTTCGATGTACTTTCTAAACCGAGATTTCGTACAATGTGTCCTCCGTCACGACTATTGAAGATAAAGGATGTTTTGATGTACTTTCTAAACCGAGATTTCGTACAATGTGTCCTCCGTCACGACTATTGAAGATAAAGGATTGTTTTGATGTACTTTCTAAACTGAGACTTCTGCCTTTAGTTCGAAGTAAAACATAGTGTTCTAAATATTTCGAATATTCATGTATCACTTATGTACTCCAGAGGATGCAATTACAAATTGCGGTCTGTAAAAGTTTTCTAAGAATAGAGGTCAACGATTTCGTCCACTGAAACTGGGACACATATATATAAGTAAGCCTGCCCTCTAATGGTCAATCAGAAACTTTAAAGTCCTACTATTGTTTGTTCTTTCTTCTCCACTGACTTAATTTTGGTGGGCGTTTTTCTTCACTGATTGACGTGATCTGCTAGAAAGTCGTCTTTAATTGGTTGTTTGATCTTTTCTTTTCCGCCTACTAAGTTATAAAAGCTGATTCAAGTTTCATTGCGATTATTACATTTTTCTAAGAAGTATTTTTTCATGAGACTTTGAAAGAACAGATAATCAAACTTTCGTTCCCGGGTTTGAAAGCGTAAGTTGTCATGGTGATATGGAATGCAATGTAAATTAACATAAAATATTAGTTTGAGCAGCTAGATCCGATTGCAGTAGTAATGATTTGTAGCTTGCAATATATATATTAAATGAATTTCGACATCAACGTATATATAAATCTAAAATTATGTTTAGAACCAAGTTTGTCGTTAATAGTGATGTTGCTGTACTGTATGTGACTTTTAAATGTATTTTAAACGTGTAGATGATGATTTAATTTTTTAAAACACAGTTAAAGTCTTTGTTTTGTGCCAGGTTCTGAAAAACAGACTACACAAGGAAAAGAGATAAGCGTTCTTAAATCAGTAATTCATAATTTCTATCTTTTAGAAACGGTTGTAAGTCTGTATCTAGTTGTGCTATCTTGTTGTATTATTTCTACAATTTCGAAGAACAACGGCTTATTATTTGATTTTGATAATCCCCCCCCCCCCCCAATAATATCAGATCTTCTATTCTAACAGTTTCAGTTGGCAGCAGTTTTAATAATCACTTAATAATACAAATGACGTATCATTCATATTATGTAAAAGCTTAATATAACAGATTATATGTAAAAGAAATAAAAGACCAATTGATGCGTCAGTAAAAAAAACAAAAAACTACTGGTTTGACACCAGACTATTCCCTTCTGATGTGTTGTACAGGTATTGAGAAATTTTGACAGAAAATAAACCATTTTACGTACTTAGCGCTAATATTCTTAAATGCACATGTTTTTAGGTACGTAGTTTCTGTAGATCAAAGGAGTTATTTGGAATTGCTCAGCGAAGAGAATGATGACAGTGGAGTTACTCTTGAACATAACTCTTTTAATACTGACCCTTGGATGTAGCTATTCCTGTCCATTTTCGGGTTCCTTCCACACGTTGTGCATTTACAGGTCAAGAGCGTGTCCCGGTAAAACACTGATACGTAAGTTGGACTATAATTTCAGTATTTACAGAGCCGTTAACTGTTGTTTTTTTGTGTGTTTTTAATAATTTTCGCAGAAAGATATCCAAGAGTTATGTGTGTTTTTAATAATGTTCGCAGAAAGATATCCAAGAGTTATGTGTGTTTTTAATAATTTTCGCAGAAAGCTATTCAAGAGTTATGTGTGTTTTTAATAATTTTCGCAGAAAGCTATTCAAGAGTTATGTGTGTTTTTAATAATTTTCGCAGAAAGCTATCCAAGAGTTATCTGCACATATCCGTCTCTAACTTTGAACTTATAGACTAGAAGAATTGCAGCTGTGGGGGTTTGACTGCCATTCTGATAACGCTTTGTGTTTGTTTGTTTTATAGCAATTCCCCCCCCCTCCCCAGTGGCATAGCGGTATGACTGCAGACTTACAACGGTAGAAACCAGGTTTCGACACCCGTAGTGGACAGAGCACAGATAACCCATTGTGTAGCTTTATGCTTAACTTCAAACAAACAAATAACATTGTATAGGAAAGTCACATTAGGCTATCTGCTGTGTCCACCGCGGGGGAATCGAACCCAGTATTTTAGCGTTGTAAGTCCATAGACTTACCACTGTCCCACTAGAGGACCTCCGATAACACACCCACGACCTCAAAGTACCGAGCGCGATTGTTTTTTTTTGTAGCAACGGAACACGAACCATAAACCCGACACACTAGCCTGTATACAAGAGAGAGACTCGACACAAAGGAATTTTTTAAACATATATTTTTATCATACACCTCGAGCATACATTGAATTACATTCAGTTTTCATGGTGTTT